TATATATATATATGTGTGTGTGTGTGTGTGTGTGTGTGTGTATATGCTTTTGCCTTAAAAGAAGCAATTTATTGAAATATTATCCTCTACAAAATGTCGATATACCTTTAAATTACTAATATGACACTAATAAAGATGACTGATGCCCAAGTCTTTAATACAGGGAATAGGAGTTAGGGCTGGGAGCTGAGAACTGAAGGACTCATTGCCCAATGGTAAATGCAGAGACTGCAGATTGGCCAATAATGGACCCTTTATTTAATTCAAATGGAACATTTATGCCAAACTGAACTTCAAGAAAACATTTTAATTGAGTCAAAAGCTCAGTTATTATGCATACACCATTTAAAAAACAAGAAAATGTAACATGCCATGCATGAAATGATCATTCTAGAAAACACTGAATGCAAATGAAAATACAAAATGTCCCTTTTATAAACTGGTAGAGATAGCTAGAAGAATTTTATAAGTTGACATTAAGCGTTGATGCTACTGATGAAAACGCATGAACAATATGTTAGCTAGTAATATATATAGTCTACTTTTGAAACTTAAATTTTGAGACACGTATACTGTTTAGATGAAAAATGGGCTTCATGGGAAGATTGTATCATGCTGTGCAAACATCATCATTCATAATATTCACAGTTACCTGTTCGACATAAGCATTTTCTGTGCATGGTGGTCATTTTCACTAACTACCTGTTACATATCTAAACCAGCTGTCTATCTGAAACTCCCAGTGCTTAACCAGCAACAACATTCCTAGTGGCAAGTAGACATCTACTCAAGACAACGCTGACAAGGCTTAAGGAAATAAGCGCAGGAGATTTTTAAGTTGCTAATGTGCGTTTTCCATCAACTTGGATTGAACCACACCTAAGGAAAATCCAAAATTTATGTGGCAGCTATACTGCGTGGCATTCGCATGCATTGTACCTCTGATACACCAGCCTCATACACGGCCAGGAAAGGCAACGACATACCAGAGAATAAGCACCGGATAAACGTAATAGACACAATGCAAGAGTTAAGAAGTGCAAAGGAAGAGTCCTGTCTCCAGCAAGTGCTGTGCAGGGCCAAAATGGAGAGAGACGTAAGGTTCCTGGACTCTTCGCCCAGGGTTGCGATCTCCCTTGGCCTCTTGTCTTCCTCTCCCTTCTTCCCCCCTTCAGCTTCCCACCTCTGTCATTTTTCCCCATCGGTGCGAAGGGAGCACACCGAACCACAGCACTCACCTGTCGTCGTTTTGCCATCCTTGGTCCCCTAGCAGCAGATCTCGAAACCTGTACCTAGGAGGCAGAGGGGGCACTTCGCTCTCCAGATCAACCATCCTTCCTCAAGAGTCGGAAACATCAAACAACAAATGGACGACGAGAGGGAGCAGGCTGGGGACCCCTCGGGGCGAGGGAGAGGGTGGGGAAAGCCTGGAGAGGCGCGGGTGAAGGGGTAGGGGCGGCAGGGCGGGGGGCGCCGGGCGCCGGAAGCCGAGGCTGCGGAGCAGGGCCGGCGCCGCTCTCCGGGGCTGTGGTGGGGATGATGCAAACCGAACCCAGGACCCAAAGTCTGGCTCAGACTCCAATCGGCGCTGCCAAGGAACCGCCCCCAGGCGCGGCGCCGCCTCTGGTCCCCAGGACCGCAGGGGAGGCGGGAATGCAAAAGTTACTTGGCCCGGGAGGGGGCAGAGGATGCGCGGCGCCTGGGCGAGCGGCGAGGGGCCGGGGCGCGCGCTGCGCAGCGGGGGGACAGGCGCCCCCTCCAGGGCATCCTGCGTGCGCGGGCGCAGCCAGGGCGGCAGGGCCAGACGCGCGGGGGGCTCCGGCCCCAGGCGCGGCCGAGCCGCTCCCCGCGCACAGGTCCACCAGGGCTGTCGCCGAGGCCCAGCCAATGAGCCTCGCCTTCATTAGCATAGGAGTGACGGCACGGGGGAGCCTTGGGGACGGCCAATGGGGGCGAGCTCATTAGCGGATTCCGGGCTTTCAGACCCTTCTCTGGAAAAGCGGGTGCGGGGTGCGCGGAGTGTTCCAAGTGCCGGGAGCTCCTGGGCTCTGGTTGCTTTCAGCTCGGGTGGGCGGGTGGGAACAAGGCACCTTTCTGGAAAGGGAATCCCCGCTCTCAGCCTGAGGAGAGTCCCTTTTTTCCTCTCACATTCTGAAAGAAAGGAGGGGTTTCCCTGATCTGAGGGAGGGAGCAGGGCCACCGAAGCCCTCCACTGAAGAGAAGCACTGAGGCGCCCGGGTGAACCTGCTGCAGGGGGGAGCGTGGGCCACAGGCACCGCCGGCGGTGCTCCCAGCGTCGTGGGAATCCCAGGTTGCGCCCTTCGCCTGAGATGTGCGCTTGTTAGTGGTTCCCACGGTCGGACTGATCAGGGAACCCAAGAGCCTCGAGAGAGCTTTTCAGCCTCAGCTGCGGCTGGCATGATGGCTGCTAGCGAGCTGGAGTTCTGCTTGCCCTTAGGGTCTTTTCGGTCAGGAACTGACCTCCTCCGGATGCATACAGACCCAGAGATATTAATCTCCTGGCAGACTGGGCTGAATTTACAGAGGGCTGCATCACTCTGCCCAGGCAACGGCCACGAGCCTCACAATGTGCTTGGAGAAACAAGTTCATGGTGAAAGTTACACAAGATGAGAATCAAAAAGAGATTAGAGAACCGTACTTGCGTGATAACACACTTATTCGAAGTGCGGCCAAGAACACACTGGAAATCCACTAAGCCTTCTAGACACATTTGCAACCTGCTTAAAGTAAAGGAAGAAATAAGAAACAACCAAAGAGAATAGTATGAACAGAGCCAGTGAGGTTTTAGACAAAAAAAAAAAAAAAAAAAAAAAAGACTTATCAAGAAAATGGTGATTCAGTTGGTGTTGAAAAGCTCTCTCGGGCTGGCCTGATAGCTCCGAGGACTAAAGCATCTGCTTAGGCAGACACAGCGACCGGGGTTCCATCCCAGGCGTGCAGGGGCCAGCCCCACCGCTGAGAGGGCGATGGAGACTGGGCGTGGTGGCGCGCACTTGTAAGCCCAGCGCTTAGGAGGCTCAACACAGGAATCACTAGAAGTCCCATCTACGTAGTGGTGAGACCTTGTAGACCCTGTACTAAATGGAGAGACAGAGAGACAGACAGACAGACAGACAGACAGACAGACAGACAGAACTCTCAATGGACGTCATGTAACAGGCAGTTTTAAAGAAAATTCAAATGCAGAAGAAATCAGCAGAAGAATGTAATCACATATAAGATACGATGAGTATCTAAATCTGAAAGATAACAGCTGCAAGAGCAGGGGCATATCCTTTGTCTCCAGTCACAACATCTATCCAGTCTTTCTGACCTATCTCAAATGATGTGCTCTCCACGAGGCACCCTGATGTTTCTAGGGGCTTGTGACGCCCGCTTCCCTTGGACCCTCCATCTCCCTGCTCAGTCCTTGTCACAGTCTGCCCTGCTGTACTATTTATTATCTGTCCGCTTTTCTTACATGTCTTCACCTCTCCCTGTGGCTTATCTTGCAATTCAAAACAGCAAAATTTTATCAAATATGTGCTGAAGTTCGTGAAAGTAGTATTTTAACGCTTTAGCTCCAGAGATATAGGTTCATAAAAGCGTTGTTCAGCTGCAGCTTGATAGTCATTTAGACAAATAAGAAAGTTTATTGTTACATTGTTATTGAGAGAGAGAGATGAGAGATACAATAACTGATTTATATTTTCGAATTTATCATCTGCAATTAAGATGAACCTCTGAAATTCATTTTTAATGTTGCAGGTTAATATTTGTATGATTATAGTATGCACTGACTTATCTGGGTGGCTGAAAAATCTGTGCTGTTTTCAGTGAACAGATCCAGAGGACTCTTAGGACAGAAGTAGAGCTAACTATTGAATTTTGGATTCCGGAAGTGCTGAAGGCTTAAGACCAAAACATTGTACGTTGAAAAAATTTGTAAGTCATTTAGTAAAATTCTGCTCAGCTGGCAGTGTCACAGCACAGCTGTTAAGGATACTACTAATTACAAAGTACTCTAATGTTTTACACCAAACAAGTTGAATCTTTTTGCATCAATGATGGACTGATTTTCTGTGAGCCTGCCTTGAAATTGTTGTGAAAGTGAAAAAGCTGCAAGTTCTAAATTTAAGATTTTTTTTTTCAATATGGGAGCATGGATAGCGCGGTATTCTTAACCTATAGCAATTTGGAGGACATCGAAACTTAAGGTTATAATTGGAAGATCCTTTGGCTCAACTTTATACATTTTTTTCTATTTTCTATCAGAAGACTTTCATTTTTGTCATTAATTTGGACTCCTAGCTCTCCCACCTATGTGTCCACACTTTTATTCTTTTCTTTTCTTGTAATGTCATGTCCTTCCCTGCTGTTAAAATATACTTTCCTCTTTCACTCTTTTTACCTTGGTTTTCTATTTTTCACCATGTGCTTTTGATCTCTTATCTCATAGAGTCTTTTCCTCTCTGTGTGTGGATGAAAGCTTTTATTCTACTATAACGTGAGATTCAATTTTTGGAAACAGTTTTGAGCATGGTTCTGTACAGTGCAATGCTGTACCTCACTGGTGTTCTTATGTTTCCTAATCAACATTTAGTGTAGACTATAAGCAGTACAAGAGATTTATCTTTTACTAAAAAGAGAGCACTCACCAAACACTTTCTAAATAATTATGTTGATGGATTAATAAGTATCAATAATGCAGGTTAGGAACAACTAAAAATTATAATTTTAAAATTTTTAGTTTTATTTTGTAGAAAGCACATTTGAGGATGTCTTATTAATTCCTCATTTTTCCAACAAAAATATTTTTAAAATTTCTTATTTCTGGTGCATTTATTTGTCATGCAAATGAAAGAATTAAATCATTCCCTTCAATGAAGAATGATCCTAACAGTTAAGAATTTATTGATTATTTTGTGCATACTGAATATAATTACAAATGTAGAAAATGAAATAATTTTACTCAAAATGAAGATGCATGTTTATAATGTGTATGTATGTAATGGTTTATCATCAAATTCTGTGTAGAAGCATGTGAATCACAGCAAATGGAAGTGTAATCAGGTTTATGTGAGATGTACCTTTAGAAAAGGATCACAAAGGCAATGGAGAAATGACAGGAACATAGGTGGCTATAAATGGCCTCCATTTATTAAATATCCCAGCTTAGGGGCCTTTGTATTATACCAAAGAATTGGGTGAATCCCTTCAGGATTTTAAGCAAATAAATGATAAAGGCCTATTCATCCAGAAAAGATCACATGGTGTCAATGTAGCTTAATAGTTGATGGAGAAGAAAAGAATAGAAGAACAATTATAAACTATTGTATTTAAGATGAAATAGGCCAATTGTATGAAACAAGGCTGTAATGAAAAGCAGATGCAAAGCAGATGACAGATTTATAGGAGACTAAGGATGTAGAATCCCAGGACTGGATGATTGAGAGAGTGTGAAACTCAGTGAGGTGAAGGGTCAGCTAGGTAAATATGTAGGTCAGGGGCTTTACTGTTGAGTCACATGAGAACATAAAGGTAAATATGAGTGAAAAATGACTCTGCTTTGATCCAAGATCATGTGGAGAGTTGTGCAGGCTTGACTATACATGTATGCTTATCAGGACCAGATACCTGGCCAAAGCCATGAAACTGGGAAGCATTAGTGTACAGGTGCTGCTGATGCTAAGGAGAGACAGAGGCACCTGACTCACACTGTGGGAGATGGGGAGGGGAGAAGAGAGGAGGAAGTGATACATCAGAGAACCAAGAGCAAAACCAAATGGGGAGCCAACTTGTGGTACCAGATTAAAACAACATGTGTTGCTCTATTTTCTAGGTTAGTCTTACTCTTGAACCTTTGATTCAAGTTAAAATAGATTCTACCAACAGAATAAAAGTTTAACAAAACCTATGTTTTATTCTGAGCATGTCAGGTATGTGAGACAAATCTTTTTTTAAAAAATTTCAGCAACACTGAAAATTAAAAGCAATACAAAGAAAAGTTTTTTCAAAAAAACAAAGTATGGTCTTTTTTCTCAATTTCCATTTGAAGAGTATAAGTAAATAATATGAAGTATATGCACTTCATTTGCTTTTAAATATTCCCTTTGACTCAGTGTTTGGCATAACAATGTACAGCCAAGGAGTATGACTCAGAACCACACATAACTTTCAGCATGTTCGCTGTCAACAGTTCAGAGACCCTACCCTCAAGTGTTCTTCCGCGTGCTATGTGAGGAAAATCTCTGCCAGAGATTTTGGAAGACTGTGTTTTTATCTTGGATCTTCCCAAATTCTGTTCACTGACAGATTGAAGGAGACATCTGTGTTCATGATTGTCCTCCACCTTGACCCCCAAAACAAGTAACGACTGACACAATTTTGTCATGTGGATGATCAACAAATGCTTCACGATTAGATAAAAAATGGAATATATGAGTAGGCTAGGTCATAGTTTTATAACTACTGAAATACAAAAGCATATAATTGTTCACACTGGTGGAAAAAT